ATATATACATACATATATACATACATACATACATACATACATACATACATACATACATACATACATACATACATACATACATACATACATACATACATATGTGTGTGTGTTACTCACTTTAAGCCTTCTGATATAAGCATGTCCATCACAAGAATACAATTTACTGTAGCAGTATTGGCACTCAAGTATCACATGAAAATGGTTCTCCAGCATGTAATAGGATGTAGACTTTAAGGCATTGGTACAGTTACTGTGCCATGCATACACCACCATGGGTGCCCCCGCAATGCAGTTCTAAACACATGCTTATTCTCTGTCTGGGACCGAACAATGTATACATATTCTTGCAGTCCAGATGTAGAGCATACCATAGGTGCTTTCTGACTGGTTTTGGTGTGATCTAGGTGGAGGCCACATGGATATGTATACATCACAAAGTCTTTGAGGGGAATTTATCAAAACCTGGAGCAGACAAAATCTGGAGCAGCTGTGTATGGCCACCAATCACCTTTTAATTTTCATAGCTTAACTCCAACAGACTGGAGAGAGAAGCTGATTGGTTGTCATAGGTAAGGGCTCCAGTTTTGATAACCCCCCCCTCCCCCCTTTTGTGTGTAAAGAACAGGGATGCATCTGTAATAGCATTTTTGGTGTGGTCACGCCACAGCATAGCTGCAACAGTGCATTAATGTGTGACTGTCCAACACCGTAGTGATTTTTAATAAAATAAACCATGGTTCTTACCATTTGGCACCTCCACCTCATGTCCTCTGGCCACGGTTTGCCAGTAGTTCAGTAGTCTGTCTTGTTCGCCATCTTCCATGGGCTCCACTTCTTCCTCCACACTCCCGTTACTGTTATAAGCGGAGTCTGACCCCAACTCATCTGTCATGTTGTCCAGGTCATCTAAAGTGATCATCCCCGCCATGGCAGGCTCCTGGACCCCTCCACTCATCCTGCATGCTTCACGTTGCATAGTGGTCCACAATATGTGACCGCGTAGCTTAGCTGGGATCCAGTCGTAGACCTAGAACCCAACACTGGATTCCAGCCTGGAGCCGCTCTCAAACTTTTGAGCTAAATGCTACCAAGGTGTCACGACTGTGCTTGTGCTTAAAGTTCTACAAACTATCAAAGATTCAGGGTTGCAAACTTTGGTTTGAAACTCTCGTGCCTGGAACGACGCGGCTTACCCAGAATGCAGCACTGCACAGAAGGTCAACCTACAGGAAAGTTTTTTTTGTTTCTGTAGTTTGGTTAAAAAAAAAAATTTCCCAGCTCTACCCTATGAAATGCACGGCCACTGCTGCACACTTCCTCCTGTCACTGGAAGTAAACCGGACTTTAGCAGCCTTGTGTGTGTCTGTGTCTGTGTCTCTTCTGTAGCTGCCTTTAAAAGCCGAGCTTAGAGGAGGTGGGCGGGAAGCCCTTGAGGGAGGGGAGAGGCACATACATACAAACACACATGCTCCTAGTCAGGTGGGGGGGGGGGGGGGGGGGGGGGGGGGCACGTGGGGTTTTTAGGAGAGCACTGTCAACTGTGTTTTTAACTCTTCTCATGCCAGATCCCTTTAGACACTGACGTGTGTTTGTGTCGCTACAGTGTGCTGGTTTCTGTGTGCAGCCACTAATGAGCTGTCTCTTTTGGATTCATGAATTTTAAAATTGTAAATATACAAAAGAGAAATTTCTTGTCTTGAAGTCACCTGAGATTCTGGCAGCCCAACCCTATCTTCTATTCGGCTCTTCGGTTACATGTAGGTAACCTGCATAAACCGCCAACGTTGTCGTTTGGTGTAATCCTATATCCAGGTGTGGCAAAGCACCCAATTTGGCACTTTGAATTGCAAAACCTAAAGTAAAGCTGCTCATGCATGGGCCATTTTTTCCTAATTTGATCTTAATGAAAGGCATCAGAACTTGTTCTTGAACTGATGAGTACTTTTTTATTTTCACCTTCTTTACTGAAATGCCACAGAGTGACACTAAACTCGGGAGTTAAATTCGTAAAAATGTATTCAAGTACATTCATCTATTAACAAAAATGTATCCCATTTGTGTATCACTCATCTGTAGATCCTCAAATCATCTCTGAATTGGTGCTGACACTGTCCTTCCTTCTGGAGGGGGGCTACTTATGTTCCCCATGGTCCCTGTGTGTGTTGTAAAGTAGTCACCGCTCCAAGCTCGCTCCTGTGATGGACTACAATCTTACGTTTAGGTTACTGATTTTGTATTGAGATTGTAGTCCATCACTGGAGTGAGCTTGGAGCGGTGACTACTTTACAACACGCAAAGGGACCATGGGGAACATATGTAGCCACCCTCCAGACGGAAGGACAGTGTCGGCACTGATTCAGAGATGATTTGAGGATCTACAGCCGAGTGATACACAAAAAAAGATACATTTTAGTCAATGGGGTGTTTGCATGCATTTTTAAGGTTTAACTCCTGAATTTAGTTTCATTTTAATCCTCCTAATGATCAAGTAGTATATACTTGCAACATCTGTGTAGTGCAGTAACCCATAGCAAATATCAGATTAATGGATGTTGCTAACAAGATTACATGGTGGTGATCATTCACCACGTAGAATGATCAGTCTATTTGCGTCTTTCAATCGATTATAATCGATTATGTCGATTAGTTGTTGCAGCCCTAGTCTGTCATTTCAAGCCTGATGAAGGGGACCCTGTGTGGCCCCCGAAACTTTATTTTGTTTTAACATGAAGCGTCAATAAACAAACATGTTCTTCACTTCAACCTGGTGTGCTGGTGACCTCTTTAACAAGTTTCAGTAAGCTGTGTGTGTCTCCACAGGCAGAGCAAGGCAAGACGCACCCCTGGTTCCTACTCTTCGCTCCTGCTTTCATTCTCCTCCTGTCTCCCTTCTCCAAGCTAATAGATGGACAGCTTCTGGATACTGTGCTAGCCCTTGTGATCTTGTACTGGTCAGGAAGTTCAGGGAAGCTGAGCTAAGAGAGTGGCTGCCAGCTGTTTGGAAACGTGATGATTTTAAGTATTTGGGCAAAAAAAATGTAAAGCATGCAGGGTAATGTATATTTGTTCTGGATTTATTACTGAAAAATAAAATGTAGTTTAATGCTACTTTAAACCAATCTTTAACGCGTACAAACCAGGTGGCTGGTAATGGACTGCAGAGAGCCCTAAAAATCTCACTTTTATCGATCATACCCGGATCTGTTTCTGCGGCTCAGAATGCTCTACCTCCGTTCTTCCTCTTCTTAACCCCTATGTGCTGGTCGCCTCCCTAAAAGGACTACAGGGTTCTGCTTCTGGTATTTCAAGACGTATATACTTTTAGCTTACCTACCTATTTTCCAAGATCCCCAAGTCATTGGAGAGCTGTGCAGTAAGGTACCATGCGCTATGCTCAAAAAGTCTCATTAGTTGAGCAATATCTCGAGCACTGAACATCTTACTAAAAAAAATCCGTCCATCTACGAAAGAAGAATGTGGTCCTCCAGGTTTCTTTGTTGCCCAGCCTCCAATCTTTCCCTATGAAATTGGACTTTTCGTTCTTCCTCTTAACTGGTAGTGATACTTCCAAGATATCCCAACAATGAAAGAATGGATGGCAACCTCAACCCACTTCCCACTAAGCTAACAGCACAGCTTTATGAGCGCCTGGATGACCTATTTGGGCACCATACAATTTATAGACCACCTTTGCTGAATAAATGGACACCACACCTAATGATTCTTCCAGTAGGACAACTCCAATGTCCCTATATCCTATAACACCCTCCACCTCCTTTTTTTTTCTCTCTCTCTCTTGACCTTTTGTATATCTACCTTTTGTACTGAATGGAATGGGACAATGAATCCCATCACCTCATAAATATTCGGTCCATAGATGAAGTAATATTACAAGGAACAAACAGATTTATGTTTTGCTTTAACGGTGTTACCTGCCAAAGAATTTGTATTTTAATATATTCATTTCTAAGATAATCAAAGCTTTGCCAAACAACAGCACAGAGCACGAAGTCTGATTTTTTTTTTTTTGTTTGTTTTATGATGCAATTAATTTGGAAGTAGTGTTACAAGAATAGGAACATTTTGGGCCCCCATAAGCATTGTGGTATAATGTGCTAATATGCACAGGACCCGTAGTATACACTGGCAGGCTTGCCTAGAAAGGGATCCCTTCCGGCGCTATTATTAGTGTACCCTTCCATCACTGGCACTTCCATCTTCTTCCCATCTTCTTCTGGGTTCATGGTCTTCAGCTTCTTGAATGGCCTGGCTGGGATAAACCAATCATGTGCTCAGAAGTTACTTAGTACCTGCACAGAACCATACTGCGCATGTGCGGCTCGGTGTGCACAAAAAAAAAATGCCGACAGGAAGGGAGAAGAATTTGACCGAAGAGACCTACAGAATCCCTTCATTAAAAGCCTAAATGTCTCCCAAACCAACAACCACAAACTCAACCTCTCAGACTGGGATGAGTTCATTCACAAAGACTTGTCTGTGAAACATAAATCTGACCTGAACTCGTTTATTCTAGCCACCACAGGCCGAATGCAGAACTGCAGTGCAACTTACTGGTTCCTTGTGCTGCTTCTCCCTCTCTGAGCTGTGCTCTATAATGGACTGCTGGATGCAAATTTAAAGTCAAATTTAAATCCATTGCTTGCATTTAAAAATAATGCATTCTTGAATACCAGAGCCTTATATATCTGCCTGGAGCTCAGCTCTAATGATGCACGATTGGGTGCTGTCATCTGTACCCTAGCTTCCATATAGTGAAAGTGCATCTCTGGAGCTCGGCTTTAAAAACCCATTAAATGTATTCTTTTACAAATTGTAATTGGTTCCCTCTGTATGTTACAAAGACTTGGTTGCTTGTTTAAAAGACAATTCAATATTTCCTTTGGCTGAAGACCTGCTGGAGGAGATGCTGATGAGGGAATGAAGGAGTTTTTGAAAATTTGTGGTTTGTCAATTTCTAAAAGTAATTTTGTTAGATATTCAACGTCAAAAAGTGTAGAGGATGCAGCTGGGTGATGAGCTGAAGCATGGCACCCCCTAGTGGTGAAAAATATCTTGTTTTCCCACTTGTACATGGTTAACTTCGACTAAAAGCCATGCTACTTTCTTTTATGCCTGGGATACATTCCTTCCTGCAGTTGATTTTGAGTGAAAAGAAAAATGAATGGTCATAAAAATCTTATCTAGCTGATCAGTTCATCGCCGCCGACAGTCAAAGGTTATGAGCTCAAGTTGCAGCGTGCCCCTTTACAAATCTAAAGCAAGCAGGCTCGTCGTAAATTCAGTGCCTGGATGAGGTATGAACTCTGTATCTTCAGTACTGCAATCCTCCATGCTCGGCAGTTGGAAAGTAAAACGGCTATCTGACCTACTTAGAATTAAGAATGCATGGATAGCTTTTTATTCAGGCCCACCATATTTTGCTTTGAAGGAACACTGCATATTTTTCCACCCCCCTGTTTTGATAAAGCAGTATGTAAAGACTTTGAATACTCGGCTGATTGAAATTGGGTTGGCACAGTTAAAATTGTATAGAAGTAAGAAGAATAAAGTGTTCTCCGACAACAGAGATTCTCACAACCCATCAAAATGGCTGTCTCTTCTATCTATGGGTATCATGTTTAATGTGAGCCTGTACTTATTCAAAACCATGTTCAATATTTCTTTTAAAGTATATGGGAGCTGGCAACGTTGAGGTTTCCCCACCATAAGGCCCCATTCACACTGAGCGACATGGATATTGCACGTTTTTCCGCGCTGACCGGCTTTGAACTACATTGCACGATATTGAGCGATAGTGCACATTCTATCGCGCTACATAGTGCGTCTTTTGGGCGGGACTTCGTCTCTGCTACATTGGGCTGTAACCAATCAACAGCGATCTTGATGTGACCTCATTATTTCCTTCCATTTTGCAGTGCAAAGGTGACCCTTCTGTCGCGCAATATAGCCGGTAATGCGTGATTTCGAGCGACACCATTGAGGCTATTGGGGGGCGAATCGCGTGACATCTGCCGGAAAAAGGGTCATGTACAAGCTTCAGCGACGAGCTACAGGCGACCATTGAGATGTGAACAGCTCCATTGGAATGCATTGGACAAGCTACATAGAGTGATACAAGACCGAGACCATTAAATCTTATAAAAATATAGGCTTTATTATGTTTTACAAAACATCAATTTCTTTACAGCAACACTTCT